CTGACACAGAACCCTGAGATGAGCTCAGCAGGTCAGAGCCTGGTGCTAAAACCACCCAGGCTGTGGGTCAATCCTGGAATGGGCCATTCACTTAAGAGCAGGACTTGATGATCCTTGTGGGTCCCTTCCAGCTCAGAATATCCTGTGATTCTGTAAATCAGAAGTAAGACCCTGAGTTAGGAACCATGGAGATAAATAAGGAGCTTCATGTGACACCCTGCAGAGATTGCATCAAGCAGATACACTCCACATCCACGTATCAAACACAAGGACACACTTCTGTTTTGCCAAGATCACGGAATCGCTTAGGCTGGAAGGGATCCCTGCAAGCCTTGATCCAACTCCCCACTCAAAACTGACTCGAGTTAGAACAGGCTGCTGCAGCCCAAGCTTAAATCTCTTTAAGGGCGCAGCTTCCCCAGCACCTGGGGCCGTGATCCCATTGGGATTTCCCGCGGGCTGCCCAAGTGCCAGGATATGTGGAATAAATAAATAGATTGCACCCCTTGGGGTAATTATGAAGTGGGTATGTATTGTCAGCGCCCGGCACAAGTGAGATCGCTCTCCAAGACTTGTGCCCTTGTTGCCCGTAAAGAGAACACAAAACAACCGAAGTCGTTTTATGCGGTGCTTTATTGCAGGCCCTGGGAGCCTGAGGACTAATGTCCAAAGTCAGAGCCCCCTGAGCTAACAAATCATTGCGTTTATATAGAGTCTATATCAACGGTTGCTTAATTCAACACATATCTGTCGACGTTACACTCCAACAATCATTTATTTACAAATTAATCCTGGTTTAAATTGAACATTTTTTATAATCATAAATTCTCTTCACTCTGTTAGGTAAAAACAATGTATTCCCCCAAGATCTACCTATCCACCTTGTGAATAATGACATGTTCTACCAAAGCCTACTCTTGGAATGTATTCTGAGATAAGTTCCTACCTCTCCAGTATTCCGTACTGCCCCTACCTAACAACTGTTTCTAACAACACACAGCCTATGGCCTACTAAGAATTCTAAGCCTTAGCCGAACTACTTCTACTAAACTTTTGCTAGTCTGAAATGCAACACCCTGAGCTTTAGTCTGACCCAAACCTTTATTCCCAAAGGTAGGGAAGGAGGAGAAGCTGCGGGAGCTGGGCTGGACACGGAGCGGCCTGCGGGGGCACCGCGCCCCGGCACAGCGGGGGGATCGCCACCGCCAGCACCCCCCGCATCATCCCACCCTCCATACCCTACTCCACCTTATCCCATTCTATTAAATTAATTTAATTCAATTTAATTCAATTTGATCTCGGCCCTACCTGCCCGCCCGGAAACGCCGCCGCTGGCGCCGGGAAGCGCGCCCCGCGCATGCGCGGCGGGCGGCGCGGGAACTGCCTCAGCGCGGCCCGCGCAGGCGCACTGCGCTCCGCCCGTCCCGCCATGCTGCCGCTGCCGCCGCGCCTCCGCCGCCTCCTCCGTGAGGGGCTCCCGCCGCTCCCGCCGGACCCCCCGGCCCCGCCGCCCCCTCCGCCCGCGCCGCCCTTCTCCTTCGCCCCCCGCCGCCACCGCCTCGGCCCCCAGCACCCGCTCTTCGAGGTGAGGCGGCGCGGCGGGGCCCCCTCACGGAGGAGGCGGCGGGCGGCGCGGGAACTGCCTCAGCGCGGCCCGCGCAGGCGCACTGCGCTCCGCCCGTCCCGCCATGCTGCCGCTGCCGCCGCGCCTCCGCCGCCTCCTCCGTGAGGGGCTCCCGCCGCTCCCGCCGCACCCCCCGGCCCCGCCGCCCCCTCCGCCCGCGCCGCCCTTCTCCTTCGCCCCCCGCCGCCTCCGCCTCGGCCCCCAGCACCCGCTCTTCGAGGTGAGGCGGCGCGGCGGGGCTGTGCGGGGCCGCTCCCGGCGCGGTTCCCCCGAGCAGAAGGGTTCCGCTGTGTCCTGCAGCCCCAAACAGCGCCGCTCTCTGCTCCTCTCTAGGATGGGGACGTGCACAGGCACCTCTACCTGCAGGGCGTCCTCAGCAGCCTCCAGGAGGTGGCCGAGAGACCCAAGTGAGTGAGGCGGTCTCGTCTGAGCCCGCCCGTCGTGGAATCAAGGAATGGTTTGGGTTGGAAGGGTCCTTAAAGATTATCTCGTTCCTCCCCCCTACCATGGGCAGGGGCACCTTCTGCTGCCCCAGGCTGTTCCAAGCCCTATCCAGCCTGGCCTCGGGCACTGCCAGGGATCCAGGGGCAGCCACAGCCCCTGCAGCCCCTGCTGCAGCTGGCACAGGTCTAAGCAGGAAGGCCAAGCCTAGAGGAGAATCTTGGTCTTGCTCTTGTGTTTAAAAGCCAGGAAGTACTTTTGAGTGCTGTGTGAGATTCACCTATGGATAACCCTTAAAAAAATCACTGGAGCTGTCATCCACAACTGCAACTTTCAGCTTAGACAGCTAATTTTTTTATTAATGGCTTGTTTGTTCTTCACCGAAGTACCATTTAACAGGAGCCATAATGGTTAATAAGTTTCCAATGGCAAATAATTTTCCAGCTGCCAGCATCACCACGATCTTTGTTCCATTGCACCTGGCATTTAATTTTAAGTATTAGACACAAAAAAATGCCACAAGTGTGTCTGCAGGTGTGGGCCTAGTGGAAGGTGCCCCTGCCCATGGCAAGGGGTTGGAATCAGATGAGCTTTGTGGTCCAATCCAACCCAAGCCATCCTGGGATTCTCTAATAAAGTCATCTAGAGGGCATTTTTGCAGCTGAATTTAAAGCTTTAATTTTAGCTTAAAGTCCTGATTTCCCTGCAGGGTGTCCGAGTTCAGCTGCCACATCTCTGGCTGCAGCCAAGTGTTTGACACACTGGAGAGCTACGAGCACCACTACAATACCCTGCACAGGAATGTCTGCTCCTTCTGCAAGCGCTCCTTTCCCTCTGGGAATCTCCTGGATATCCACATCTTGGAGTGGCACGACTCCCTCTTCCAGATAATGGCTGAGAAGCAAAATATGGTGAGCTGCCATGCCCAGCCCTTGCCTCATGCTTGGTATATGCTTGGTTTTTTTTTCCAGTTACGTCTTTTTTCCTTTCTCCTCCCTGCCTTTCAGTACCAGTGCCTGGTGGAAGGCTGCACGGAGAAGTTCAAGAGCAGCAAGGACAGGAAGGATCACTTGGTGACCGTGCACCTTTATCCTGCTGACTTTCGCTTTGACAGGCCCAAGAAGGTGAAAAGGTAACTGCAGAACTTTCCTCCTGTCCTGCAAGGAAAGTGTGAGGGGACTGGGATTGTTCAGCTCTGAGGTGACCTAAGTGTGGTCTTACAGTGCTTCCATTCCCAGAGGGCAGGGATAGATGGGCTATTGGGAAGGAATCCATCCCAGGTGGACTCGTTTCCTTATGAAGTACCTTTGACTTCCTTGGCTCTGGGCTCACGTGGCAGCTCCTGAGCCAGGATGTAAAATTTTGCCTCTGCAGTGGCTCCAAGCACACAAGCTCTCCCACGGAGCAGGGCGGCAGCGTGCCCATGGATGTGAGCGTGGAGATGGCAGAGCAATCCCAAGTGAATGCCATGGAAACAGGGCCTGAGGAGAACATGGAGATCTCTCAGCCTGCAGCCAGCCCCGGCCCCTCGCTGCCAGAGAAACGTCTCTACAAATCCAGGTCAGTACTTTGGCCTCAGGGGCAAAAGGGGCTGGGAGCACTCCATCTTATCAGCCCTTTGCAGCCTGCCTTGGGGTGTTCCTGTGCTGAAGATAAACCAGGCAGGAATCCCAAGAGTGCTTCCAAAGCCATTTTTGAAAGAAGGAAGTGTAAGGAGGAGCAGGACGTGGGTACGCTGTGGGAGCTGTGTTTGTCTGCCCACCTGATCTCTTCCCAAGGTATTGCAGGATGCTGCTTCTGCTCTCCTGCTCCTCAACCACTGCAGCTACCCAGGTGTTACATTTGGTAACACCTTGTTGTAAAGAGCCCTCCAGGACAGGAATGTGCAGAGTACACAGAGAATCCAACCAGTATTTCACCTGTTCTTTAAATTATTTGGTGATTTACATGTCCTGCTCCTCCAATTCCTTGCTCTTCCCAGTCTAGGAGCTTAAAATGCCCCACAGAGCATCCCAGCGAGCTTGTGAGGGCTGGGCTCTTAACATGGATTAAAACCTGTCTCCCTTTCCAGGATCCCATCCACAATTTGCTTTGGACAAGGTGCCACCCGAGGATTTAAAGGACCACGGAAAAAAGTCTGAAGGTCAGTGCAGCCGATTTGTGCAAGATGAGCGGGCATGGAGCCAGTGCCACCAGGGATATTGCCAGTTCCCACTCCATGGAATAAACCACCCAAACCAGTTAAAGCTCTGCCAGCATTTGGGCACTTGTTCCTGATGGCAAACAGAACTGGCAGCACCCAACTGAGTTAAGAATCCTCAGGATTTGAGGAAAGGGAATCCAGAACGTGTGGTGAAGTGTTAAGGAAACTAGCCTGCAGCTGAGGCTGCATGGGACTGGGTGTTTCATTTTTTGCCTCTTGAGGGTAAAAAAATGGATTCCAGAAGTTACAAGATGCTGACGTGACTGTATGGAAGCTGGAATAACTGAGAAAAGAAAATAGGGGGAAAAAACCTCATTGGTCCTCAGTTCTGACTTCCTCCATCTCGCTGAAGTCTCCTCTGCACCCTGGCACCTGCTCTGAAAAGTTTGTCTGGGCCAGGAGAAGCATTTTCACTGGGAGTTCAAATAAAGTGATTTCCAACCAGGTGAATAAATAAAAGAATTTTTTTACAAAATTGCTTCATAGACAATTTAAGTGCTTTTTTGAAGCCCAGGAGAGTCAGATGTGTGGACTGAACCTCCCTTCCTTTGCTGCAAATGCTGCCAAAATCAGGTTGGGATGGAGGTTGTTTTCCCTCTTGCCTTTCCCTTCCTTTGTAATTTCATCCTCCTGGAAAAAAATGGAAACACAGCCACTGATCTTGGGGTTCTGGTTAATCCTGACACGCAAAAATTGTGTACAAGGAGAAAAAAAGAGGTTTCTGGAACAATGTTTATCCAAGAAGCTTAGGATCTATAATTTTAATTTTTTTTTTCCCTTCCCCCTCTCTGTGAGGAACAGAAGATCAAAGGGGCTTTGAAAAATCCTTGCAAATGGGAGCAGGGAATGATGTTTACGGAGATGCAGGAGATTTCCCAGTGAGTTTTAAAAAGCTTTGCTCTGTTTAAAACTCATCCATCTTGTCCAGCCCTAATCCCTGCTCCGTGGGCTCTGGAGAGTGCTGTCTCCAGCAAGCAAACCCTGCAGCCACACAACTGCCCAGGGACATCTCTCAGCAGGGACCAAAAATCACTTCCCAACACTAAAGCCCTGAATGAGGTGTTTTTCCCCACACTGGGATATCTGGGAATGAGCAGCAGGCCCCACACTGGAGATGCCTGCAGGCTTTGGCATGTGGTGGTACAAAGGTTGGGCAGCAGCCCAACCTGGTTTTCCTTTCTGTGTTCAGGTCCAGGAGTTCTGACCCGGGAATTCCTTTTTCCCAAAGCCCAGGGTCCCCGAGAGCCCACCCTTGCTGTTGGGAAACAAATTGTAGTTACTGATTGTCTCTTCTAGGCCACCAGCTTTTCCCAGCATCCATGGGCAACAAAGTATTTCCCATCTGGCCAGTGGCTGTCAAAAATCCTTATTTCATGCCAAAACTTGAATTTTCCATCTCTCCAGAGATCGTGCACTGTTAGGAGGACACGGACCTGCCTGCCCTGGAGAGCCCAGGGGTGCACGGGGGTGCCATGTCCCTGAGCAGCGGCACCTGGATCCACCCAGGGTCGGGAGGGACATGTGGGACGGGCGGCAGTGGCACCTGGATCCACCCAGGGTCGGGAGGGACATGTGGGATGGGCAGCAGTGGCACCTGGATCCACCCAGGGTCGGGAGGGACATGTGGGATGGGCGGTAGCGGCACCTGGATCCACCCAGGGTCGGGAGGGACATGTGGGATGGGCGGCAGTGGCACCTGGATCCACCCAGGGTCGGGAGGGACATGTGGGATGGGCGGTAGTGGCACCTGGATCCACCCAGTGCCACCAGGCTGCCACGGCAGGGACAAAGTGCGAGGCAGGTGTGACAGGGCAGCCACGGACAGGTAGGTCCCTGCCAGCCCCGGTGGGCACGGGGGGTGCTGGGGTCAGGGAGGAGCTGTGGGCCAGCGCCAGCCACACGGCTTGTGCCACCACGTCTCTGCCATCTCTCTCTTCTCCACTCGAGGACCATGGGGCTCTGCAGCGTGACCATCCTGCTGGGCACGGCCCTCCTCCTGCTGGCACCCGGCAGCACTCAGGTGAGCCCTGCCTCGACCTGCCCTCCCGCTGTCCCCTCTGTGTGACCCGTCCCCCCCTTGGAACCCCCTTGTCTCCCCACAGGCTCTGAGCAGCTCCCGGTGGAAGGACCTGGCCACGGAGCAGGATTTGGCAGAGGAAAGGTAAGAGGTGCTTGCATCTGGCTTGCAAAAACCAATGAAGCAACACCCCAAAATGGAAAGTGTTTCAGGGGGGAATAAATTGTAGCTTTGTGCCCCCCAAAATGAAGGAGGTCCCAGCTCCATCTCCCTTTCTCCCCAAATTATGCAAACTCCCTGAGCATGCAGCTGGTTTCTCTATTCCTTTTGTGAAACAAATACTGAAATTAGCCCCTTTGCGCCCTGAGATCCCAACTGGTGTTTTCTGGGGTGTGGGCAACTTCACCAGGGTCCCTGCACTCCCCTGGGCTAGGATTCTCCTGGGACAGGGGGGGATTTGGCAACCTCTCCTTGATGATTTTGTTCCCCTCTTCCAGCATCCTGGGCGTAGGAGCACCAGAGGAGGGTGAACCAGGTATAAAGGTCTTCTCCAGCAGTGCCTGGGCTCAGAGGGGCCCACCCCAAACCCAGGCAGGACCAGAAGAGGCTCGTGACCACCTGTACCACTCCCAAGACGCCGCCGGGGAGGCCAGTGACCGTGTGCCATTCTGGCTGCTGGCCCCCAAGGTGCAGAATGGCCCGGAGGAGGATCGTGACCACCTCTACCACCCCCAGGATGATGCCAGGGAGGCCGATGCCCCTGTGCCATTCTGGATGCTGGCCCCAGAGGTACAGAATGGCCCGGAGGAGGATCTTGACTACATCCACCACGGCTGAGTGGAGATGTGCCCAGGCTGTGAATTGAGGGGTGGGGGCCACCCCTGGGGTTTCCTGGGGAAATTTGTCCCTTCCTAATGAGCCTCGAGCCTCACCAATAAACCCACTCCCCTCTGCACGTCCTGTGGACTCCTCATCACTGCCAGAAACCTGCTGCTAATTGCAGGGCCTCCAAACCTGCAGGAACTCCCTCAGGATTACCCCAAGGTGCCAGGCAGGGTGAGGACGATGTCCTGGGACAGGAGACTCAGCCCATCAGCCCTCACCCATCAGCCCAGGTGAGGCTGAGGCAAACTCAGCACACCAGTGTTGTGCCCCCAGAAGGTGCCACAGGCTGTCCCCTTCCCAGGCAACACCCAGACCTATGTTCCACGAGGCTGCTCTTGCCCAGCCCAGCATCAGAGAGCAGTGAGGGAGTGTGGCGGGGCTCAGTGATCCCCAACATTTCCCAGCTAAGGCAGGACCTTGCAGCAAGGATGCCCCATCTCCCAGCAGCACCTAGAAAACCCTTTAATAGTGAAGGCAGAGGTGGTCCCCACTGCTGGCTGTCACCCCAATGACATGGCTCGCCGCCGGGTCCCGGTCCCCTCTGCGGGGTAAGGCGGGGGGTGGACGGGCTGCAGGAGGCCGTGGGGACCTGCACCACCCCAGGGACCTGCAGCTCCTGGGCTCAGCTGTCGGTGAAGTTGGCCTTGCGCTTCTCCACGAATGCTGTCATCCCCTCCTTGCGGTCACTCTGGGACAAGCAGAGAGGTAAGGTGACAGTGAGGTTCGGGGGGGCTGCAGCGACCCTGCTATCCCTCATGCCACAGGGCTTGATCCCCCTACTCACAGTGGCAAAGGTGGCGTAAAAAAGGCGCTTCTCTGTCCTGTTCCCCTCTGTCAGCGTCGTTTCGAAGGCTGAAAGCAAGGGACAGGTTGGGTAGACCCCTCTGCCTGGCCTTGCAGACCCCCCAAGGGGTTCCCAGTTGGCCCCCAGCCCCTACCAGCATTAACTGACTCCTTTGCCATGGCAGTCACCAGCTTGGAGTTGCTGGCGATCTTCTCAGCACAGGCAATGGCTGCGTCCAGCAGCTTCTCCACAGGGTAGATCTTGCTGACCAGACCTAGGATGCACAGTGGGAAGTGGGGGGATGGCTCTCTGCCAGACCCCTGCAGTGCCAGGGCTGTCCCACGCCCTTACCTGCCTCCTTTGCCTCCTTTGCTGAAATGCGGTCCCCGGTGAGCACCATCTCCATTGCCAGCGACTTCCCCACTGCCCTGGTCAGCCTCTGCGTCCCGCCGGCGCCTGGGGCAGTCAGGGAAGGGAGAGGTTCAGAGAGGGGTACCTGGGTGTCCCCACCCCAGCTGGGATAGAAGCCCCTGGCAGGTGCCTGCTGCTCACCTGGGATGGTTCCCAGCAGGATTTCGGGTTGCCCAAACTGCGCCTTCTCCCCGGCGTAGATGATGTCGCACATCATGGCCAGCTCGCACCCGCCTCCCAGCTGGCACAGGGGAGGCAGAGATGGGTCACGGGGTGCCGGGGTGGGGACAGGGGGTGCAGGGAGATGTGGGGGACACTCACGGCGTAGCCATTGACGGCGGCGATGATGGGTTTGCGGACAACGGAGACCTTGTCCCAGCCGGCGAGGAAGCCACTGCTGTAGCACTCCTGGAAGGTTTTATTCTGCATCTCCTTGATGTCTGCGCCAGCTGCAAAGGGAAGTGCAGTGGGACGCCAATCCCCTCCAAAACTTTGGGGTGAGCAGAGGCCCCCATCCTACCTGCGAAGGCTTTCTGGCTGCCGGTGAGGACGATGGCTCCCACCTCCGGGTCGCTCTCCATGGCCTCCAGCGCCCGCCGCAGCTCTGCCATGAGTCCCTCGCAGAGCGCATTGAGCGCCTGCGGCCGGTTCAGCTGGATCAGCCCCACGTTCTTCTGTGCCCCCGTCTTCTGTACCAGCAGGTACTGGAATGCAGCCCCTGCCCGCCACACCAGCACTGCCCCGTTAGCCCACCGGCTGCCGGGCACCGGGCGGACCCCCGGCCACCCTCGGCAACGCCTGCCCACCGTCACTCCGTGCTATTTAAAGGCGACCTTGATGTCAGCGGTCACCGGCAGCCGGCAGGGCAGGCTCGGAGGAGCTCCCAGTGCCACCCTAGCCCGCGAAGATGAATCCCCGTGACCACCCTGTGCTGGGACAGTGTGCGTGGTCCGCGCCCCCAGTGCTGGGATCTGGTGCACGGTCCAGCGATCCCGGTGGCCGGTGCTGGGCCGCAGTGCCGGTGCCCTGGTATGTGTTACCGGCGCCCATGCATGGCGCAGGGCCCCGGTGCTCGGTGATGGGCTCTGGAGCGCAGCTCCGGAACCACGTGCAACTCGCTGGGCACAGGCCCGGCGCTGGGAGCTTTTGCTGGGTCCCGGTGCCCGGTGCTGTGGCCCTGGTGAACAGCCCAGGGACTCCATGCCCGGCGCTGCGACCGCACACGGAGTACGGACGCGGTGCCCGGTGCCGTGAACTGGTGCGCATCCCAGGGACCACGAGCAGATCGATGCGCACATACCCGCCCGGTGCCACGACCGTGCCCGGTGCAGGGACCCGGGGCGGAGCACTGAGCTGGGCCAAGCCCACCCACCCGCGGTGCCCCCCCGGTGCTCACCGGCGCTGCAGCCCCGTGTGCCGCGGAGCGGCGGCGGGAGGCGCGCTCGGGGCAGCGCGGCGGCGGCGGCGCGGGCGGCGGGGCGCAGGAGCGCTCGCAGCGGGGCGGCCATGGCGGAGCGCGCACAGCCCCGCCCCTCCCGCCGCCGCCCATTGGTGCAGCCGGCCCCGCCCCGCCAGGCGCCGTCCCCATTGGCCGAGGCGGGGCCGAGGGGCGGGGCCGAGGGGCGGGGCCGCGACCCCCGGGCCGTGGGAGGGGGCGCGGGGCCCGATCGCCGCCCCGAGCGGGGGTCCCGCCGTGCTGCCCCGCGGGACGCGGCCGGAGGGCGGGGTGTGGGGGGTTTAGAGGCGCCGCGGGGAACGGGAAGGGAAGGGGTAAGGAAGGGGGATTCCGCCGCCGCCCCCCGCGCGGGGAGACGGGGGGAGTGCGGGGGGCGCGGCGGGAGCGCGGCAGCGGGAGCGCGGCTAGGGAGGAGTGGAGAGGAGCGGAACGAGCCGGCGGCATCCCCGGGTCCGGTGAGCCCGGCGGGTGGCGAGGTAGGGGAGCGTGTGCGAGTGTGCCCTGCGGCGGGGTGTGTGCGAAGCCAGGGAAACGCGTGGGTGCGAGCGTGTGCGGGAGCATCATCCCCGCGGCCGTGCGGAACATCACCCACAGGGTTCTGCAGAGCGCGCCTGTGCGAGTGTGTGCGGGAGCATCATCCAGAGGGGCGTGCGGGAGCGTGCGTGTGCGGGAGCATCATCCACAGCGGTGGGGGGAGCGCGTTTATGCAACGCGCGGGGAGCTGCGTGTGCCGTGACACACGCGTGCGCGGCCGCAGCACACGCGCAAGCGGGACACGGCGGTGCGCGGTCCCCCGCCCGCGGCCGGGCGCGGCTGAGCGGCGAGGCTCTCCCTCCCTCCCTGCGGCAGGTGCGGGATGCGGCGGAGCGCGGCGGCGTGCTGGGCGCTGGTGCTGCTGGCCGCCACCTTCTGCGACACGGTGGCCGGCAAGGGTGGGCGCGGCGGAGCCCGCGGCGCGGCCCGCGGAGCGGCGCGGGGGGCGGCCCGCAGCCGGCCGAGGGCGGCCGTGCCCCGGTACGGCTCTGCCGGGGCGGCCCTGCGCGTGGCGGGGGCGGCGGCGGCGGGAGCGGCGGCCGGCGTGGCGGCGGGGGCGGCCCTGCGCCGGGCCCGGCTGTCCGGAGAGCTGCAAGCGGGAGACGGCGTTGAATACCGCGACGGCAACTGGACGGCGGCCGCCAGCGCCTGGACCTCCGCCGCGCCGGCCGGGACCCCGCCGAGCCGGGCGCTGCCATGGCTCTGCCCGCTGGCCGCCCTCCTCCGCCGCTGATGGATTTCGGAGGACCTGACTGTGCCCGGTGCACTCACGACGCCGCGAGGACCGGCCGCCCCCACACGGGGCTGAGCCCCATGCCCCGGGCGAGCAGCGGCTCCCGGGGCTATGGTCACCCACCGCCGGCGGGGCAGGACCCCCGCGGAAGACCCTCCACCACCACCCCTCCACACCGAGCCAAACCCCGCCGGCTCGGGCTCCCCTCCGCACCGCGCCCCCGTCCGTGGGACCGTGGCCTCGCCGTGTCCGGAGGCCGAGGAGGCGGCAATAAAACTGGGTAAAAGCAGGTGTGGCTGGATGCGGGGCGAGGGGCGGGACCCTGGGATGGACAGCACCCGGCCCCTGCCCACAAAAGGCTTTATTTCGGGATGGAGACTCCAGAGCAGGCCAAACCCAGGGAGGAACAGCTCCCTGGCAGGGAAACAGATCCCTGGCGGCTTCCAGGAGCCAGCCAGACACACCAGCCCTGCCCCAGGCTCTCTGGGGCAGGCACAGCACTCCATGGGAGCCTCACGACAGCGACACCACAGGGGAGCCTGTCTGTCCCTCCGGCCTCTTGCCCAAAACCGGGGACAGCCCTGGCAGAGCCGCTTCCATCACACCCCATAGCTCCCTGCTGAGGTGTCTCTCAGGGTGGGAGGACACCAGGGTGTCCCCAGTCCACACGGCTGCAGGCAGTGCCTGGCCAGTGACAGGTCTCAGTCCAGCGTCACCCTGCCCAGGCGTCCTGCTCGGAAGTCCCGCAGGAACTCGTAGGCAGCAGCTGGGTAGTTGAGCATCATCATGTTGACATTCCCTGGACATGGCAGTGGATACAGGAGTGTCAGCGCAGCCTGATCCCCAAAACTCCCAGCCCTGCACCCCGGATCACCCACCTGTGCCTGTGAGCACCTTCACCTTCTGCGTGCGGCCCTGGCTGAGGGCCACGTGCTTCAGCAGGGGCTCGATGTGGTCGCAGGGCTGGCCCAGCCCATAGCGCTGCACGTACCTGCCAGAGGACACTGCTCACACCCTGCTGGCACCGCCTCCTCTCAAAATTCCCTGGGCATGGCATCTCCATCACCCTCTTGGGACCCCTCTCTGCTTCCGTGCCCACCCACCTGAACTGCTGCTGCTTGTTCAGGGTGTACAGGAGGTAGTCAGCCATGACGTCCTCCCCCACCATGTGGTCATGGATGGCTCCTGGAAAAGAGGGTCAAGCCCCAGCTTCCCTAAGCGCTGCTGAGCTCTGGTCAACCCTCCTTCCACCCCCTCACACGCAGGGGTTGTGAGCAGCAGTGTCACCCCAGCCTTGGCCACATTTGGGGACTCACCACAGAGTGCCAGCTTCATGCCGGTCTCCACATCCCCCAGCCTGGGGGGCAGCACACCAGGGGTGTCCACCAGGTACATCAGGGGCTTCTCACACACCTGGCACGGGGGAGGCAGGGCTGGTAATTAGCACCACACGGCTAATGAGTGAGGCACTGAGCTTGAGTTAAGGTCTTGCTGCAAAGGGGACCTGAGCAACCCTCCACGACTGGCTCAGTGAGCCTGGAGGTGTCCTGGATGCAGGGACAGTACCTGGATCCTGGACAGCACTGCCTTGGTGATTCCTGGCTCACCCCCCACCACAGTGGCTCTGCCTGGGGGCACAGACACAGTCAGGGACACAGGTGACACTGTGCCCACCTGTTCCCCGAGCCCCGGCACCGTGCAGAAATACCTTTCTTGAGGTGCAGCCTCCGCAGGGAGTTGATGAGCGAGGACTTGCCCACGTTGGGCACGCCGATCACCAGGATGTTGTGCTCGGAGCTCTGGAAGCCAGGGAGACACGGGCAAGGAGCAGCTGGTTACCAACCACCCCCCTGCAGCAACAGGCAGCTGCCACAGGGAAATATCCCAGTGTTTGCCCTGCCAGGCACTTCTTCTGGCACATGTGGGAGCAGCCTTGTCCCTTGGCAGGAGGTGGGGGGGGTCGCTGCACTGGGGGCAGTTTTGGGGTACCACAATATAAAAGAGATGTAAAGCTGTCAGGGAGTGTCCAGAGGAGGGACACAAGGACGGGGAAGGGTCTGGAGGTTCACACAGGGGCTGGCTGAAATCACTTGGTTTGTTCAGCTGGAGCAGAGCACACTGAGGTCAGACCTCCTTGGGGGCTGCAGCTCCTGCCCAGGGCAGCCCTGAGCTCTGGTCTCTGGAACAGGGACAGGACCCAGGGAATGGGCACAGCCCTGAGGCTGCCAGAGCTCCAGGAGTGTTTGGACACCACTCCAGGGGTGCACAGGGTGGGATTATTGGGGTGTCTGTGTGGGGGCCAGCAGCTGGACTGGGTGGTCTTTGTGGGTCCCTTCCAACCCAGGATCTTCTGTGCCCGCTGTGCATGTCTCACCTCAGCCCTGTGGTAGCGTGGGCCATCGGCCACCAGCCTGGCAACCATGGGGACAACCTGCAGAGGGACAGGGCTGTCACTCTGTGCCCTGACTGGCAGCAGCCACTCGCTTGGTGACACTGTGCCAGTGGGGGCTGGGACAGCTGGAAAGGGAGCAGCCAGCTGGAGCACCGAGAGCTCTCCACGGGGCTGGGAGCTCACCAGGGAGCAGGGCTGGGCTGCTGCCCCACTACCTTCTTGACGTTGACATCACGCTGGCAGTCGGTGAAGACTACGTGCGAGCATCCCTGCTGCCTCAGCTGCTCCAAAACCGCCTGGAGGGGACGGGAAGAGGCACTGCTGTCACCTGCCTGTGCCACCACCGCTGCCCCTCGCCCGGCCCTGCCCCGGCGCTCACCGGCTGCCGGCGGGCATCGGCCAGATCCATCTTGTTCAGCACCAGGACGTGAGGGCGGACACCCAGTGCCTCCTGCAGCGCGGGGTTACGGCCCGACAGCGGGATGTGGCTGCGCTAAGGACACCGACTGGAACAGCGGACCGGGAGGGGGATGGAGAGCAGGTGGAGAGGGGCGAGGGTGGGTTGGAGGGACAAGGGACAGGGTTGCCTGGCAGCTCTGGAGGATATTCGAGCGTCGTGCACCTCCACGAGGCAATCAGCGCGGCGCAGCGCCAGCCGCATCTGCCGCAAGCCTGCATCACACACAGCACGGCGCGGGGTGAGCGCCCGGTGAGGACACTGGGGGAACCCCACCCGCCACGCTGCCGCCCCCCACCCCTCACCTTTCGCCATGTGCCGCGGGAACCACGAAGCCACATCGCGGCCGCCGAACTCGAAACGCTCCCGGAAACCTCCCGGCACCGTCCCCGCCGCCCTCAGCGCTGCCCACACCCGCATGGCTGCGGCGCGTCACTGCCGGCGCGACCGGAAAGCGCCTCAGCGACAGCGATGGCGGAGCCGCCGCCGCCGGGGACTCAGCGGGATCCGGCAGCACCTCCCGGCGGCACGGGGAGTGCCGGGGCCCGCGGGGGGCACGACGTGCCCCCCGCGGGCCCCGGCACTCCCCGTGCCGCCGTTCCTGAGCCTCAACCCCCTCGCCCACCCGCCCCGGAGGCGCCCCCGCGGCCGGGCCCGACGCAGGACCCGCTGGACGATCCCCGCTACACCATCTCCAGCACCAACTGGTATTAAATCACACCGCATCCCCCCGCTCCACCGCTGCACCACGGAGAGCAAGAAGCCGCTGGCGCGGATGTTTCTCAAATAAAGGAGACGGAAAGGGCGAAGCACCGCGGTTTATTTCGCCGCCTCAGGACTGAGGCGCGGGGACGGGCGCCTGGAAGAGCTGGTTGAGCCGCTCGGCCTCTCGCCAGCCCGACAGCAGCGCGCCGTGGGTGGTGGAGTAGAAGGTGCGGTGCGTGGCCTCGCCGGCGAACAGGAGCTGCAGGGGCTGCGGGGAGGCGGCGGGTGAGCGCGGGGGTCGCGGGGATGGGCTGAGACAGCCTTGCACTCCGGCACCCCGCGTTAAAAACCCACAGCGGGCATTTCCCTTCCTTAGGCGCCCAGCCCGCGCCGTGCCGAGACTGCGAGGAGCCGCCCGCGCACGACTTCGGTGGGGATGCCCCTTCCCCCGTGGAGTGACCTGAGCATTGGTGACCCCCGCAAAAGGTCAGCACCGCCCGTCTCTGTCCCCGCCGCACCCCCTGGGGCTGGATCCTCACCCGGGGGTCGCGGGGGTCCTCGGGCAGGGGCTGTGCGAGCACATCGATGTCGTCCCCCGAGCTGCCGACGGCCACGTAGCTGTAGGAGCCGCGGGTGTAGGGAGCGCTGTGCCAGCGGGAGCGGAGCACGCTCCTGGGCGCGGGCAGGCTCGGATTCCCTGCGGACGGAGCTCGGGGTAGGATCGACGGATCGCCCGGGGCAGCGGGCGGGCGGGCGGGGAGGGCGGGGCGGGCACCTGTCATCGTGCGCAGGACGCGGGTCATGGCGCTGAGCACCTCGGCGTCGCTCAGCGTCTCCATGTACTCCGACTCCTTCCCCGCGATGAAGCCGCACAGGACGTGCCCGTGCCTGGGGCGGGAAGGTGGGGCTGAAAGCTGCTGCACCTGCCCGTGCCCACCAGCGGCACGGATGCCCCGAATCCCCGGCCACCTACTGCTCTGGCGGCTGCAGCACCACGAATCCGATGAGCTTCTTGAACCAGTTGGCCTCCAGGTCAGCGTCGGGCTCCTCCAGGGGTGACTCGTCCTCCCACACCACCTCCAGGAGCTGCTGCTCGGGCTCCCAGAAAGGCTGCTCGAACTCCAGGAAGATCTTGTTGTTGGTGCCAAAGCCCAGGTTGCGAATTGCCCGTGCTTTCCGCTCGGGAAGGGGGGGCTGGAAGAATTCCTGGTGGTGTTCCTTGAGGAAACCTGCAGCCACAAGTTTGGGCAGGCAACGGGGCACCTCAACAGCTGGGCTCCTAAATGGTGTCTGAGATGCTCTGACCTCCCCAAACCCCTTTCCAGCCTCTTCCCAGTGGGAGACGGCAGGCTGGGAAGGGGTTTAGGCAATCCCCGCCCTCCACTTGCCCATCTCCAAACCGTGCCAGCTGGTCGAAGGGCAGGGGCAGGGCAAAGGAAGGTGTTGGTGTCCTCACCCAGTGGGACAGTGATGATGACGTGGTCAGCAAGGAAGACATCTCCATCCTCGCACTCCACCCGGACGGGGAAAACCCTGGCATCGTCCCCTTCCTCACGGAAGGACCCTTGCCACTGGATGGTCCTCACCGCCTTGTTGAACAGGACGGTGCCCTCGGGCAGGTCCGAGAGCAGGCGCTCGGCCAAGCTGCTGTAGCCGCTGTGGGAGGAGTCACCGCTGGGGACGGGGAGGCCCCGCAACGCTGCTCCGGGGCCCGCTCCGGAGCCCCGCGCTTACCCTGGGAAGGTGCAGTCCAGCCCGGGCAGCGACACGTACTCCCCGAAGGGCTCCAGGCCCACCAGGTCCATGCTGTGGGTCCCGCTGATGCAGCACTCCAGCTTGAGGCAGGCGGCGAGCACGGCCAGCTGCAGCCGCCGGGCATCCTCCTGGCCCCTCGCCATGGTGGGCACCGTCCGGGCGATCTCAGCCCGCACGTACTGGCCCACGCTGGGCCACGGTGGCTCCTTGGAGCCCTGGAAAGCGCGGGTGGAGGCCAGCAGGGCGTAGAAGAGGTCGCGGGCTTCGCGCACTGCCTTGGGATTCAGCACCTTCCCCGAGCTGCCGTAGGTGACGGACGGCATCGGGGGGTGGCCCCCCGCTTCCACCTGCTGGTTCTCCTCCCGGGCGGCCTCCGGGCCCAGCAGGCCGTAGCGGGAGGCCAGGCAGAACACGGGATTTCCCGGCGAGGGGCCGTGGATCCAGTGTGCCCCCATCTCCGCCAGCCCCGACGCTGCCGGCAGGGAGGGAAGGAGGGAGGGAGAGCGGGTCACCCCGAGCCGTGCCCGTGGAGAAGCCCTCGGGGCGCAGCGGGACCCCGAAACGGGCGGAGCCGGCGGGCCCCGCCGCGCCCGTGACCGGCTTCCGTTCGATCCCCGCGTGCTCACGGGACCGGCCACCCCCGCCACGTGTCCCGCCCACTCCGGACCGGCCCCACGGCCCGGGGGGGTCAGGTGCAGCGGCTCCCGCATCCCGGTACAGCCGCCCCCCGCCCCAGCCCGGGCCCGCCCCCCGGTGCCGCCCACCCCCAGCTCCCGGAGCCTGCCCCGGCCTCCCCGCCCGTACCGAAGGGGCGGGTGCAGACGCGGCCGCCGGCGCGGGCCGCCGCCTCCAGCAGGCGGAGGGAGCCGTGTCCGCGGAGCCGCTGGGCCGCGCCCAGCCCCGCCAGCCCCGCGCCCACCGCCACCACCCGCGGCCCGCTGCCCTCCATGGCCGCCCGCGCCGGCCGGTACCGCCCTCCGCCCTCCGCCGCCGGCGCCGCCCGCCGCAACGGCACCGCCCCTGGAGCGGCCCGTCCGCGGCGGCGGGGAAGGATGGGGCAGTGCTGGAGGGAGGCACGGATGGATGCCCGTGGGTAGTGATGAACCAGCTGCCGGTACCCATGGAGGGCAGGGGGAGAGGGTCCCTCCTGGAGTAGCGGCAGCCCTGGGACTACCTCCGCACCCTCCTCCTCTCCCCATCCTGCTCCTGCTCATCCACCTCCTACGGTGCCGGGCTAGCCTGGCAAGGTGGAGGAGCAGTGGATGCCCATCGTCCCGCCGCACACATCCCAGCAGAGCTGCCCCAAGGGCCAGTCCCAGCGCTCCTGCCCACCCGTGATTCCCAAACCTTCACGGATACAATAAAACTCTCCACTCCCAAGGCTGTCTGGTGGGTTTGGGTTTTTTTGCCAGCAAGAGTTCCTGCCCCCTGCCCAGAGGTGGGGTAAGGTACTGGATGTACTGGAGTACTCCCAGCTGGGGCCCTCGGAGAACCCACTGTGCCACCCAGCTCTACCAGCTGTCTGCGGGGTTACCGTGTCCCTGCTGGCTGTGCCAGCTCCCCAGAAAATATTCACATGCAAGGAAGACCTGGAGTGTCAAAGCACAGGCTCCTGAAATCCCTTTTGAGTGTTTATTTTGGAGGGATTTTCCCCAGCTCCGGGTTTACAGCAAGCAGCAGGGTGGGACAGGCTGGGGACACCAGCCTGGCAGCAGCTTCCTGGAGGGACGGTGGCCCTGCAACCCAGCCCAGGGCGTTTGGGGTCACCAGCTCCCAGGGCTGAGGGATGATCATTCCCAGTGTCTTGGTGCTGAGCCAAGCAGCCATTCCTGGGGACCTCTCGCCCCTGAGTCCCAGCCCAAATAATGCAGGAACCTGTCTGGCTTGGCCCAGATGGAGACCTTCCACTTCCTGAGGACTTGTCTTGGGGAAAAAGGATTCTCCAAATCCAACCTGAACCCCCTGGGCTGCAATGTGGGGCCAGACCTGTTGCTCCTGCCAGGAAGGGTTTGGCCTCATGCATCCCCTCCATTCCTTTGTGTGCCATGGCTGGGGGCGGCTCTCAGCTGTCCCCCCACAGCCAGACTCAACAGGCCCAGCTGCCTCTCACCTCCTCACAGGCTGGCTGCTGTAATCCACAGCCCACTGGCCAGCCACTGTGGGGTCATGGCAGGGTCCCCATGTGTCCCTGGGTCAGCACCATCATGTTGGGGCCCTTCCAGCAGGGCTGGTGGCTCCTGCCTGTTCCAGTGCCTTGGCTGACCCCAGTGCTGTCCTCCCAGCACAGTGCCAGCGGTGCTTGAGGAGCTCCCAAGCAAGGAGGAGAGACCCAACAACCAAGGGACATGTGGAAAGCACCATCACCACAAGCATGTCAGGTCAGCAGGAAGGGGGGACAGCAGGGAGTGTCCCACCCTGTCCTCAGGCTGTCTCAGCTTTGGGACTGGGGCCAGGCCACTGGCACCTCCCCCAGGAGCCACTGCTCTACCAGGACCCCTCCATCAGCTTCAGGATGCTGCTGTAGAGGCGCCCAGGGGCATCCAGGCCCCAGACAAAGTCCCAGTGGTTCCAGTCGGGGATGTGGGTGTAGGTGACGAGGTGGCTGATGCGGGGCAGCAGCTGGAGCACATCCCTCCAGTCAGCTGCCCAGTCCTGCCCTCCCGACCACACCGCGGTGGGCACTGGCATCTCCTCCAGGCGGTACAAGGGCGGTGTGTCCTGGAGGGACACGGGGGCTCTCAGGTGGTCAAGGAAGCCATTCTGTCCCTGACCACCCTGGACAGCCCCCCAGCATCTCCAGCTGCCAGCACTGCCGTGGCAGCTCCTACCTGGTGGTACCTAGCTGCGTTCTTGCTGCTGTAGTCAAAGGCTTTGAATTCTCCAGATTTTATCACCTGGGAAGAGAGGATGGATCTGCTGTGAGAGGATGGACCTGCTGTGGGAGGATGGACCTGCTGTGAAAGGATGGACCTGCTGTGAAAGGATGGACCTGCTGTGGGAGGATGCATCTGCTGTGGGAGGAGGGATTTGCTACTGCGTGGGTCTTGCATCTCCTGGCTGCCTTGAGGCGCCCGTCATGAGAGGGTGCTCAGAAAGGTTTGTGTAAGTCCCTGCCCTCCATCTGCCATCTCCAACCATGCCAGCTGGCTGGGGACAGGCAGGATGAGGAAAGGTGTTGGCGTCCTCACCTGTGGGAGATTGCAGGAGGAGATGGCATTACACCTTTTTTAACAGGGTGGCTTTTTGACCTCTGGCTCCATGCCTGTCCCTAGCCATGGGCTGACAAACCAAGGTGAGGATCTGTTTTTCATGCATGCTGCCCTGGTGCCACGCTCTTCCCTCTGAAATCCTGCTCACCACCAGCTGTGTGTGCAGGGTGCTGCTGCAGCTCCTTCAACAACCTGATTGTCCTTTTCCAGCTTCCATTACCAATCATTTGGCTCTGCAAGGAGGCACATGGGTGGGGTTCTCCAGCCTGACCCCATTTCCAGCAGGGCCAGTGCTGAAGCTGCAGAGTCTATCTCCAGGGTGTCCAGAACCGCTTTGGACAGCTCCCCATTGTTGGGTCCCCATTTTCCTCCTCATCCAGTTCCCCCAGCCTCTCCTTGCGCCCACCAGCACCATGGTGTCCCCAGGTTCTGCTCGGGGGACCCCTGGGTTCTCAGCATCCATCTGTGGCCTCCCCATCCTGTCCCTTGTCCTGCCTGGCCCAGCACAGGACGCACACTGCAGTGTCCCCTGTTCCCCAGAGGCACCAGGGCAGCTCATCCTGCATCCAGCAGCTCTTCTGATTTCTTGCCTTTGCTTTCCCAATGTCTGTGACCCCTGAGCTCTTGCATCTGCCCTGGGCACAGCAGGCTCTCAGTGAGGGGACATCCCAGGGCTGAAGCATCCGTGTGTCAGGGATCCTACCTGGGCCCAGTGGATGATGTTTTTGACAGAGGTGCCATCCGGATAGTGGGATGTGTACACATCCAGCCGTGTCTGCAAGGAAACATATCCCAGCTGTGGGTGCTTTCCAGCAGATGGGAGTGCAGTGGCAGCTGCCAGGTGTTTCCCAGAGCAGCCACTGCTGAGTCACGCTGCCTGAAGGGCTGGACCAGGTTCAGGAATATAATTTTCATTAAAAACCAATTGCTGCGAGGCAGCATTGGGAGAAGAGTGACGGGGATGAAGGGTGAGCTCTGTGGGACCCCTCACCTGGGCTCAGGGGCTGTGCTCAAGGCCTCAGTGACTGCTTCAGCAGGTGGGTCAGAGCAAGGGCTGCACCCCAGGGTGGTCACAGTGACAGGCAGCCCTAACTCCGAGGTGCTGGCGAGGG